ATTGCACAAAAAACTTGTTCCGAAAAATTCATTTAAAGAAGTATCTCATGTTCCGGAAAGCTTGTTTTGAAAATTCTGGTGTAGAAAGCTCTTTACAAAATGTATTTCATATATTTCAGAAATTCTATTTCAAAAATCTTGTTCAGAAATCCTATTATGGAAATCATGTCCTTATAATTTCATAAAACTTGTTCCAAAAATCTTGTTGAATAAGTAATCTTGAAGTCCATTTATGCATGGTTGTTTTAAAAGATAGGGGTGCAGATAGAAATTATAGGAGTGCAAGAAGAAATATTTCTACCCATATTTAGAAAATAAACCTCTCTATCTTTTGATACTTTTTTTAGGTTTTTCTTACTACACCTTCCAGATTACTAACTAAACCTCCATGTTAACAAATGAAAAATTAAAAAATTAAATATATTTTTAGTCTTTCAATTTTGATACAAAATTAAATTTAGTCACTGAAACTTTGATATATTTTAGTCTCTAAACCTTAAAAATAAATAAATATAATTTTTTTAATCAAATTAAATTAAAAAATTTTAATGTATAAAACATTTTTTAACTAACATTATTGAAACGAAATAACCATATAAATATATGTTAACATTTTTAACACGTCAAATTTTTGACGTAATTAAATTGAAAGATTCGTATTTATTATTTTTTAAATTTGAAGACTAAAATATATTAAAATTTTATACAAACTCGTTTTAATTTCGTGTTGATAGATTTGAAAACATGTGTAGCCTAAAACTAAAATATATCCTTGTTTGCTGTGCCACAATAGTCATCATTGCCACCGAGTCTTATTATTCTAGGTTGTACCTGAGCCGTGACTATAGTGATGCTACTGAATCTCATGATACTGTGACATTAGGAAGCCTGGAGCCTCCGCCAGGTAGACACTAGAAACAATGGAAACCAAGAGAGGGAGGGAGTGAGTAATACATTGAGTTTGGTGGAGATCATACAACAAAACATTGTTTTTTTCCTTTCAGGTTGCTTAATCTAAAGTCTTCAAGATTGGTTAATTTGTAATGCTTGCAAATTGTTCGACCCGAAGAGGAAAATTCGATGTTTTTATTCAAGACATTGTATATTTTCTAGAAACCTTGTTATGAAAATATTGTTCCAGAAATTTTATGGAATAAATAATCAGAAAGTCATCATTAAAATATAGAATAAAGGGCAGAATAATCATTTTAAAAATCATGGGAGTTCAAGAATAAGAAAATATTTTCTTATTCAATATTAGGGATTTGAATAAATACAACGTACTTTCCTTAAAATAAGAAAAGTGCAAAGTCTAATTCATATAAATGGCGTATAAAACTCATCTATATCGTCTCCATTTTTAAATATAAGGAATTTGAATCTAAAGTGTAAAGATTATAATTTAAAAAGTAAAGTGGAATAATAACGATTTGAAAAGTAACTTATGGTTGTAATTAGTAATTTAAATTTGAAATAATCCAATTTTTTTAGAATAACTAAAAATTTAGAGTCCGTCTATTCTATCCTTACGGCATCGGATGAGCTAAGTTCAAATCAAATCTAAGGCCACAAGATCTGCAAAGTTCAAGCAGCAGCAGCAGCAATTGATAATGAATCAAATTTCAAAGATTTCAGCTTTGCTAGTGGCTATTCAACGATAAAACTTAAGGTGTTACCTTAAATTGCATAACCACAATCATCAACATATATAATACAAATATTAAGTTAGACGGGGAGATTTAGCCGAATTTCCCATTATTGAACCAACCACTAGGCCAAATCCTGGCACAAAGATGAAAAAGGCTGAGGAGGAATCAGCAGTGTGCCATTGTGCCAAATCATGCCATCACTTAAGTCGGATGACAGATGCAGCACACGAAAAGAATATTTATTCATCCAAATGACTGTCTATACAGAGATCTTCATACAAAATTTCACATAAAAGAGCAGCAAAGTGCCTAATGAGCAAAATATCCAACGTCATGAATCTCGATTGTTGGAAACCTAATGTTAGATGATACCTTGGTGGGTCGTTTCTCAGGGTATTAATTAGACCCCAGATATTATTATACAAAAACTAATGAGGCGCAACAATCCAAAACTGTTTCAGATGAAGGAATAAATGAGAAAAGGACAAAAATGGAGATGGTATGATAGTTTGAACCAGGTTGTGGTGAATCCACATCATTGGTAGTAAGTTCAATAAGTAACATGAAAATTGGTTTGCGTCATTATAAAAGAAGTCGTCTTATATCACTGAAGTTTGATTGCAACGCAGAGAGAAATGCACCTGTGAAAGAGTTAAAACATCAACGTTAGCCAACTCGGTGGATTGATGCAAAAATGGTTCTTAGGTGCATAGGTTTCATACCTAGGATCTAAGTCAATTATTAATAATTTATGGCAAAATGACATTTCAGTTTGTGTATATTAATTAATAACATAAAAAGTAGATTTAACCGATAACTTACCTACAATTAACCATGAAGCATGTGAATGTAAGCATATTATTGGTTAGCTTCAAAGTAAAATAATTTGATACTTGGTTAGTCAGTACATGAATTGAAATGGAAACTTCTTTATCAGTAGTTAACTGTATTTTTTGAGTTAAATTATGTAAGTGTTTAAATTAATTTGATATGAATTGAAAATGAAAACATCTTATTGAGTTATATTTTCATTATCAATCCAAGACACGATTTAACCATACACGAAAATCCATAGAGGGGATTTACTATCACACACCAACAAACATGCATGATGCAATCATATATGCGAAAACTCTGTTCTTGGTATGGAATACACAAGGCGATTTGTCTTTTCATACTTTTAGCTGCTTTATACCTAATTTGCATTGCAACTAGTAAACTAGAAGGCATGAAGGTAACAGTAATCAAATCTCTTCCTAGTTTCCATCAGGTAATTAAGTGTTCCAGTAACACGTACCTCCAACCTTGCCATCAAAAACACGATGATCAGCAGACAACGTTAAGTTCAACTTAGTGGCAACCGATGGCTTCTCAACTCCTATAGAAAACAAATATCAATGTTAACAAAACTTAAAAGTTTAGCATTTCGGGCCCAGAGAAAACAATCCTAAAATTTATACCATCATCTCCAAGTACTGGTTCCACAACTTTGTTGCCTCTCCCAACAGCAAGAATGCAGGCCTGCAGCAAATGATAATATAAATACATATATAGGCAAAAAAAAACAAAATCTTTCAATGCTACAGTCCTTCCCTTAAGTCTGTCTATTCAGACTAATAAACCAGGCAATCCTAAAACTCTTTCAAAATAGAATGTTCTCATAAAATGTATGTTCTGAAATTTAGGCTTGCTCAACCTTAAATTTACTTCATTGTGATGGTTTGATTTTTCATTGCCACAGCGTAAACTATAAAGGATATAAAATATATTTTGCTTTGTCTTTTACCAAACGAGAAAAAATATGGGATTCAAAGAATAGGAATAATTCTATGAAGGGTCTGCTGCTATCAGTATGTCTGGATTGGATGTAGAGAATGAAATGAAATGGACAAGAATAAAAATGTCATTCCATTATTTGTATATTTAATAATGAAATTTTGTTTCATTGATCCAAAAAAGGATAGAATCCAAAAAAGGATAGAATGAAACAAGTTGTAACTTTTAATTCCCATATTATCCTTAAGACATTAATTTATAAATATAAAACAACCATTTTATGATCTAAAAGCTTTGTTCCATTAAGAGCGCCCTAAATTGGAGGAGAAAAAATTGAAAATAAACAATAGAATGGAACATAATCCATTCTTACATTTTCAGTTCTTATTTTGAAAAAAAAAAACAAATATTGGAACAACTTTTCCTTCCAGCCCATTCCATCCTGTACCTCCTACTCAGACATAGTCTAAAGGGACATTTAAGAATATGACTTGTATTGTTCAATATAGTGAAAAATAGGTATAGGAAAAATTTTCATGTAAAAAATTACTGTATTTATAATAAAGAGAATATGAGTTAAACTCAAATTACAAATAATGATAAAGAGAAATAACAACAAATAAACAGAAGATAAAAGATAAGATATAAGATATAAGATATCTAATACATCTAACATGTATAAACCTGAAATATCCAGTTCTCATCTACTTTTCTCTTTCTTCTAAAGAAAATCAAATTAGGGAAAAATCATGTTTGGTTCACCATGTAGTTTGCTTCTTCGTTGATATAGTAATAGCATACTAGAAAAATTAGACGTTGGTCTTTTCATTCTTACAAAGAAATAACATATTAGGAGTAAGTTAAGGAACATTAGTAATTAATTGTGATCACAAGTCACATGCAAAAACAAAATAAAATTACTGATATCAAGAAAAGTTACATATCTTTATCAATCTATTTACAGGTAACTGGGATTGGATCTGCACAAGGTAGATTCATTATCCACTTGGCTACATCCAAACCCACCCCTATACTAAGTTAAATTTAAATAGATTTGGCAAGCAATTTGGCAATTACACAAGACTCGTAAATTAGATATTGTGAGTGCACGTGTGCATGTCACACACACACACAGAAAGAGAAAGAGAGAGAGAGAGAACCTGAGGGGGATTTATAATTGCACAAAATTTATCCACCGGAAACATTCCTAAGTTTGAAATGCTGCATAAGGCATTGTGCAAAGCTCAGAATTATTACATTTGGCGCAGTAAATATTGCTTAAGAAATGGGGAATCTCCAAGGTTGTATGATAATATTAGTAAAATCACCTAAACGTCCCCCCTTGGAATTCCTGTGGCTTCAACTTGCCATCACGTGCCTTTGCAGCTAGTTCCTTGACCTAAAATGTCAATAAACTATCAAAGTTGATTGAGATGGAAACAAAAACCTTACTTTCCTGACTTTCCATAATTTAAATTTACTTGGGAAAAATGTGAATGCCTAAATTTAATTCAAACATATATAAGAAGTACTTTTGAAGTTGCAGAAATTTATATATGAGAAGGAGGACGAAAACTATTGGTGAAGGTCTTGGAGGGTTGGCTACCACACCAGCAATAGTCATCTTTTCTCTTCTTATCTTTTTCTTTTTCTTTTTATTATTGTTATTGTTGTTGAGTATTTAGTTATTGGAGGAATCTTGCTCAGCCATGAGTGTTGCTCCTTACTTTGTCAGTAAAGCATTCCATATGTTCTAGTTTCTATTTAAAGTCATAACCCAAAAACCTACACATATAAGACCGAATTACCTCTGAGGAGATAGCAGAGATAGTCTTCTGATCAGCGTTTTTTATTATTGGAGTCATCAAGCCCTGCAGTCCAACAAAAGATTCGAGTACTTCATATAATTATACTATCACATCGACAATTAAAAACCGTCAATTACCTTATCCGTGGCAACTGCAATTGATANAGTAAACTAGAAGGCATGAAGGTAACAGTAATCAAATCTCTTCCTAGTTTCCATCAGGTAATTAAGTGTTCCAGTAACACGTACCTCCAACCTTGCCATCAAAAACACGATGATCAGCAGACAACGTTAAGTTCAACTTAGTGGCAACCGATGGCTTCTCAACTCCTATAGAAAACAAATATCAATGTTAACAAAACTTAAAATTTTAGCATTTCGGGCCCAGAGAAAACAATCCTAAAATTTATACCATCATCTCCAAGTACTGGTTCCACAACTTTGTTGCCTCTCCCAACAGCAAGAATGCAGGCCTGCAGCAAATGATAATATAAATACATATATAGGCAAAAAAAAAACAAAATCTTTCAATGCTACAGTCCTTCCCTTAAGTCTGTCTATTCAGACTAATAAACCAGGCAATCCTAAAACTCTTTCAAAATAGAATGTTCTCATAAAATGTATGTTCTGAAATTTAGGCTTGCTCAACCTTAAATTTACTTCATTGTGATGGTTTGATTTTTCATTGCCACAGCGTAAACTATAAAGGATATAAAATATATTTTGCTTTGTCTTTTACCAAACGAGAAAAAATATGGGATTCAAAGAATAGGAATAATTCTATGAAGGGTCTGCTGCTATCAGTATGTCTGGATTGGATGTAGAGAATGAAATGAAATGGACAAGAATAAAAATGTCATTCCATTATTTGTATATTTAATAATGAAATTTTGTTTCATTGATCCAAAAAAGGATAGAATCCAAAAAAGGATAGAATGAAACAAGTTGTAACTTTTAATTCCCATATTATCCTTAAGACATTAATTTATAAATATAAAACAACCATTTTATGATCTAAAAGCTTTGTTCCATTAAGAGCGCCCTAAATTGGAGGAGAAAAAATTGAAAATAAACAATAGAATGGAACATAATCCATTCTTACATTTTCAGTTCTTATTTTGAAAAAAAAAAACAAATATTGGAACAACTTTTCCTTCCAGCCCATTCCATCCTGTACCTCCTACTCAGACATAGTCTAAAGGGACATTTAAGAATATGACTTGTATTGTTCAATATAGTGAAAAATAGGTATAGGAAAAATTTTCATGTAAAAAATTACTGTATTTATAATAAAGAGAATATGAGTTAAACTCAAATTACAAATAATGATAAAGAGAAATAACAACAAATAAACAGAAGATAAAAGATAAGATATAAGATATCTAATATATCTAACATGTATAAACCTGAAATATCCAGTTCTCATCTACTTTTCTCTTTCTTCTAAAGAAAATCAAATTAGGGAAAAATCATGTTTGGTTCACCATGTAGTTTGCTTCTTCGTTGATATAGTAATAGCATACTAGAAAAATTAGACGTTGGTCTTTTCATTCTTACAAAGAAATAACATATTAGGAGTAAGTTAAGGAACATTAGTAATTAATTGTGATCACAAGTCACATGCAAAAACAAAATAAAATTACTGATATCAAGAAAAGTTACATATCTTTATCAATCTATTTACAGGTAACTGGGATTGGATCTGCACAAGGTAGATTCATTATCCACTTGGCTACATCCAAACCCACCCCTATACTAAGTTAAATTTAAATAGATTTGGCAAGCAATTTGGCAATTACACAAGACTCGTAAATTAGATATTGTGAGTGCACGTGTGCATGTCACACACACACACAGAAAGAGAAAGAGAGAGAGAGAGAACCTGAGGGGGATTTATAATTGCACAAAATTTATCCACCGGAAACATTCCTAAGTTTGAAATGCTGCATAAGGCATTGTGCAAAGCTCAGAATTATTACATTTGGCGCAGTAAATATTGCTTAAGAAATGGGGAATCTCCAAGGTTGTATGATAATATTAGTAAAATCACCTAAACGTCCCCCCTTGGAATTCCTGTGGCTTCAACTTGCCATCACGTGCCTTTGCAGCTAGTTCCTTGACCTAAAATGTCAATAAACTATCAAAGTTGATTGAGATGGAAACAAAAACCTTACTTTCCTGACTTTCCATAATTTAAATTTACTTGGGAAAAATGTGAATGCCTAAATTTAATGCAAACATATATAAGAAGTACTTTTGAAGTTGCAGAAATTTATATATGAGAAGGAGGACGAAAACTATTGGTGAAGGTCTTGGAGGGTTGGCTACCACACCAGCAATAGTCATCTTTTCTCTTCTTATCTTTTTCTTTTTCTTTTTATTATTGTTATTGTTGTTGAGTATTTAGTTATTGGAGGAATCTTGCTCAGCCATGAGTGTTGCTCCTTACTTTGTCAGTAAAGCATTCCATATGTTCTAGTTTCTATGTAAAGTCATAACCCAAAAACCTACACATATAAGACCGAATTACCTCTGAGGAGATAGCAGAGATAGTCTTCTGATCAGCGTTTTTTATTATTGGAGTCATCAAGCCCTGCAGTCCAACAAAAGATTCGAGTACTTCATATAATTATACTATCACATCGACAATTAAAAACCGTCAATTACCTTATCCGTGGCAACTGCAATTGATATATCAACAGAATCATTTAAAACGACCTCGCCCTTCTCAACATTCCAGTATGCTGTCATAATGAATATTGGATTTCAGTACTAGAAACTCCCATGAGAATAATTCAATGTTAATATAGAGTAAGAAAATGAGAAAAAACGTAATGAGAAAGATATCACATACCAAGAATGTAACATAAAATTAGTATTGTATTTAAGCATTTCATAGTAGTTACTGATTTAGATTCATGCCACTCCAAATTGACATGGTGTGTTTGGTATAAAATCCAAGAGATGGACAAAAATTAAAGAGGAATGGCAGGAATGTTGACACTGATCAATGCACCAGGAATTTAAGGGAGTCCAAATATAGAACGATACTCCCTCCATCCTTATATATACGGTATTGATACCTGAATCAAACACTTACTAAAAAAGTTTGTTAATGTAGCATTAAGTTTGTCTGAGATTATATTTTTCCATAATTATTATTAAATAACTTATGTATGATGAGAGAATAGTAGGAGCGAAGTTTTAATTTTTAAAACTAAACTCTTCAAATCTCCAATCTTCATAAGAGAGAGAAAGATAATTCGTAGCTTTTATTATCTACAAATTAATTAAGGGTATTTTGGTCAAAATATAATTAATGCAAGGAACAATTAGGAAAGAGTCTTATAAAAGGCACAAAGAAATTTCAAAACAATGTCATATAATTACGGATGGCGGGAGTATATCATAAGCAAGGAATGTAACTTAATACTCAAAAATTAGTGTATCCATGCACTTCATATCAGGTCAATTAGCCTCTCCATGTACTACTACAAGCCACCTCTCTCCACAACCCTTTGGGCACATGATGAGATGTCCAACTGTCTATTCCTTTTCTTTTCCAAGGCAGGTCTACTCACTCATTTTGGGCAAGGTCAAGGCTCCCCGCCTCCTTTCTTCAAGTCAAGGATTGATATTTAAAAATCCAGAATAGTTTTTTATGTTTGCTAACTATAATCATAAAAAGTGTCATGGTCTAGAATCTTTTTACTATCCGTTTTTATTTTTACTTCATCTTACATGAAAATGTTGATTGCACAAAAAATTCAAAAACTCCAAAAATACTTGAAGAGATTTGATAAAAAGGGAAATATAATTGTAAAATAAAGCAAACAAATCAAAGTACAGCTTCATATGAGTAATCAAGCAAAACATAAGCTTAAACTTGACTCGTTTAAATAAAAGCGTGAAGTTTGTGCATCATATATTTTTTATAAGCCAAGCGTATGTTTCTCGTATTGGGTTTGACTCAAGTCAGACTATTTACACCCCTATATGATTTGACACTTGTTTTGTTTCTTGGGCACTCTATGTTAGTTTACATTAATTGACTTAGCTTCAAACAGCCTTTGTAAGCATGGTTTGGGAGGTTCAACATGGTTACTTCAGCAGTTGGGTTGGTCAGTTGCTTTTCCAATGCCATTATTCACATAATGAGAGCTTCTATCCAATTGTAAGTCTCTATGATATTATCATAGCAGAACTAGAAAACCGAAGAGTCGTTCTGTAACTAGAACCCTAAGTACATTCCCCTAAAGCAAATTTTAAGCTATTATTGGTAAGAATTTTCTATTATTTTCTATACTGCAAAAACAAAATAATATCATTACTTAAGAATTGATGAACAATAAACAGGGAAGGAAATTCAAAGCTATTCAATAAATATTTTGTGATTGGAATCCCCACTACCCCTAGAAAATTATACGCAATGAAAAATGGACTGAGTAATACACTTGAGATTAAAAACTGATTAAAATATATTCTTGAGGGCTTAACAGATCCCTCTCATTATATTCTATATATATTGAAAAAGCAAGAGTACATGGAACACCAAGAGTCTGCACTAGACCTCTAGGTACAGAACTAGGTACTGCTCATTACTGGTCTAGCAGACTAGCCTTAATGATGATATGTAACAGTAATTATTCTAACACTCCCCCTCAAGCTGGAGCATACAGATTGTATGTACCAAGCTTGGAACAAATAAACTCAATCCGAGGTCCCCTTAATGACTTGGTCAACACATTTGCAAGTTGGTCATTTGATCGAACAAACTCGGTACATATTTTTTTGACAATAACTTTTCCCGAACAAAATGACAATCAATTTCTATATGTTTAGTTCTCTCGTGAAACACTGGATTTGATGCAATGTGAAGAGCAGCTTGGTTATCACAATACATCTTCATACTCTAGATGTCACAGAAGCTAAGCTCTTGAACGAACTGCTTCACCCATATAAGTTCACATGTTACTGACGCCATTGCCCTATATTCAGCTTCAGCTNCCTTCATCCACTTTTGAAGTTGAAGTTTCACAAGCTGCTGTTAGTCCATCTATGTTTGCCTCACACTCTTGAAGACAAATCATCTAGTTCAACACTGAGTTCATCTATTCCAAGCTTAGTTCATACAATTTGTATGCTCCAGCTTGAGGGGGAGTGTTAGATATATTATATCTTTTATCTTTTAGTTAGTTTGTTATTATTTCTCATTTGTATTTTGGGCTTAGCCCATATTTCTTTTATTATAAATAGAGAACCCTATGTGTGTATTTTACACAAGGGAGATTAATTTAAATATAGTTTTTCACTATATTCAACAATACCTAATTTGCATTGCAACTAGTAAACTAGAAGGCATGAAGGTAACAGTAATCAAATCTCTTCCTAGTTTCCATCAGGTAATTAAGTGTTCCAGTAACACGTACCTCCAACCTTGCCATCAAAAACACGATGATCAGCAGACAACGTTAAGTTCAACTTAGTGGCAACCGATGGCTTCTCAACTCCTATAGAAAACAAATATCAATGTTAACAAAACTTAAAAGTTTAGCATTTCGGGCCCAGAGAAAACAATCCTAAAATTTATACCATCATCTCCAAGTACTGGTTCCACAACTTTGTTGCCTCTCCCAACAGCAAGAATGCAGGCCTGCAGCAAATGATAATATAAATACATATATAGGCAAAAAAAAACAAAATCTTTCAATGCTACAGTCCTTCCCTTAAGTCTGTCTATTCAGACTAATAAACCAGGCAATCCTAAAACTCTTTCAAAATAGAATGTTCTCATAAAATGTATGTTCTGAAATTTAGGCTTGCTCAACCTTAAATTTACTTCATTGTGATGGTTTGATTTTTCATTGCCACAGCGTAAACTATAAAGGATATAAAATATATTTTGCTTTGTCTTTTACCAAACGAGAAAAAATATGGGATTCAAAGAATAGGAATAATTCTATGAAGGGTCTGCTGCTATCAGTATGTCTGGATTGGATGTAGAGAATGAAATGAAATGGACAAGAATAAAAATGTCATTCCATTATTTGTATATTTAATAATGAAATTTTGTTTCATTGATCCAAAAAAGGATAGAATCCAAAAAAGGATAGAATGAAACAAGTTGTAACTTTTAATTCCCATATTATCCTTAAGACATTAATTTATAAATATAAAACAACCATTTTATGATCTAAAAGCTTTGTTCCATTAAGAGCGCCCTAAATTGGAGGAGAAAAAATTGAAAATAAACAATAGAATGGAACATAATCCATTCTTACATTTTCAGTTCTTATTTTGAAAAAAAAAAACAAATATTGGAACAACTTTTCCTTCCAGCCCATTCCATCCTGTACCTCCTACTCAGACATAGTCTAAAGGGACATTTAAGAATATGACTTGTATTGTTCAATATAGTGAAAAATAGGTATAGGAAAAATTTTCATGTAAAAAATTACTGTATTTATAATAAAGAGAATATGAGTTAAACTCAAATTACAAATAATGATAAAGAGAAATAACAACAAATAAACAGAAGATAAAAGATAAGATATAAGATATCTAATATATCTAACATGTATAAACCTGAAATATCCAGTTCTCATCTACTTTTCTCTTTCTTCTAAAGAAAATCAAATTAGGGAAAAATCATGTTTGGTTCACCATGTAGTTTGCTTCTTCGTTGATATAGTAATAGCATACTAGAAAAATTAGACGTTGGTCTTTTCATTCTTACAAAGAAATAACATATTAGGAGTAAGTTAAGGAACATTAGTAATTAATTGTGATCACAAGTCACATGCAAAAACAAAATAAAATTACTGATATCAAGAAAAGTTACATATCTTTATCAATCTATTTACAGGTAACTGGGATTGGATCTGCACAAGGTAGATTCATTATCCACTTGGCTACATCCAAACCCACCCCTATACTAAGTTAAATTTAAATAGATTTGGCAAGCAATTTGGCAATTACACAAGACTCGTAAATTAGATATTGTGAGTGCACGTGTGCATGTCACACACACACACAGAAAGAGAAAGAGAGAGAGAGAGAACCTGAGGGGGATTTATAATTGCACAAAATTTATCCACCGGAAACATTCCTAAGTTTGAAATGCTGCATAAGGCATTGTGCAAAGCTCAGAATTATTACATTTGGCGCAGTAAATATTGCTTAAGAAATGGGGAATCTCCAAGGTTGTATGATAATATTAGTAAAATCACCTAAACGTCCCCCCTTGGAATTCCTGTGGCTTCAACTTGCCATCACGTGCCTTTGCAGCTAGTTCCTTGACCTAAAATGTCAATAAACTATCAAAGTTGATTGAGATGGAAACAAAAACCTTACTTTCCTGACTTTCCATAATTTAAATTTACTTGGGAAAAATGTGAATGCCTAAATTTAATGCAAACATATATAAGAAGTACTTTTGAAGTTGCAGAAATTTATATATGAGAAGGAGGACGAAAACTATTGGTGAAGGTCTTGGAGGGTTGGCTACCACACCAGCAATAGTCATCTTTTCTCTTCTTATCTTTTTCTTTTTCTTTTTATTATTGTTATTGTTGTTGAGTATTTAGTTATTGGAGGAATCTTGCTCAGCCATGAGTGTTGCTCCTTACTTTGTCAGTAAAGCATTCCATATGTTCTAGTTTCTATGTAAAGTCATAACCCAAAAACCTACACATATAAGACCGAATTACCTCTGAGGAGATAGCAGAGATAGTCTTCTGATCAGCGTTTTTTATTATTGGAGTCATCAAGCCCTGCAGTCCAACAAAAGATTCGAGTACTTCATATAATTATACTATCACATCGACAATTAAAAACCGTCAATTACCTTATCCGTGGCAACTGCAATTGATATATCAACAGAATCATTTAAAACGACCTCGCCCTTCTCAACATTCCAGTATGCTGTCATAATGAATATTGGATTTCAGTACTAGAAACTCCCATGAGAATAATTCAATGTTAATATAGAGTAAGAAAATGAGAAAAAACGTAATGAGAAAGATATCACATACCAAGAATGTAACATAAAATTAGTATTGTATTTAAGCATTTCATAGTAGTTACTGATTTAGATTCATGCCACTCCAAATTGACATGGTGTGTTTGGTATAAAATCCAAGAGATGGACAAAAATTAAAGAGGA